CAACAGTTTACAGCAACAATCCATACGGATACAAGGACAACATGATAATACCTCTACCTTTCAAATATATGCATCAACAAGCAGAGCCAGAGAACAGGAAGTAGACGATCTCTGCCAGCTTTTGCAGTCTGAAATTGATCGAACATGCTACCAAGATTCATTAATAATACTTGGTGATAGGAATGCAAAAGTTGGGAACAAGGAAGAAAGATGAGTAGTCAGAAAACATGGACTTGGTGACACGAAATGAGGCTAGAGAAAGAATGATAGCATTTTATATAATAAATTATTTTATAATATCTTTTAATAAAAAGATTTTATAATACCTTTTACATGATTATAATACCTTTTAAAAAACACAAAAATGACTACGTATGAGCCTCACTTGATGGAATACACAGGCATCAGATTGATTACAACTGTGAAAAATAATCAGTGGAGAAGCTCCATATCAGCTGTGAAAACTAGATAGTGGAACGGACCACCAGCTGTTCAGGTGCAAGTTCAAACTGAAGCTAAAGAAAAGTAAAACAGACATGGGGGTTTGTTAGAAGGATAGGAAAAGAGTGGATAGATAATGAACACTACATTGAAACAGATGACGGAGAGAACTGCTTAAAAGGAATATGTGATTAGGCGTGATATGTATGGCAACAATCCAGAATAAGAGGTGTATCACAGAGTGGACTGGAAGAGAGGGAGGAAATTATGCCACAGTTAATGGATGAAAACTCATTAAAAACACAATAAATGTAAGTATATTTAAAAAAAAAGAAAGAAATCCCCCCAAATCAAAATATGACTTTGTGTCTGTCCCACCTGAATTTAAAACCATATCAAGAACAGATATGAGGCCTGGAACACTAATGAATGAAGATCAGATGAGCTATGGGAGGATATCAAGATTATCCTCCATGAAGAATTCAGAAGGTCATTACAGAGACAGAAAAAGAAGAAAAGACCAAGGTGGATGTCAGAAAAGACTCTGTATATTGCACCAGAGCGCTTAGAAGCTAACGTAAAGGGAAGAAATAAGGAAGTTAGGAAGCTGAACAGAAGATTTCAAAGGGCAGCTCTGGAAGACAAAGCAAAATATTATAATGAAATGTGTAAAGAGTTGGGGTTAGAAATTAAAAAAGGATGTACTTGTTTTGCATTTCTTAAGCTGAAGGAACTGAAGAACAAATTCAAGCCTCAAGTTTCAATACTTCAAGATGCTATCGGAAGAATATTGAATGATCCAAGAAGCAGCAGAAGAAGATGGAAGAGTACACAGAGTCACTATATCAAAAAGAATTGGCTGGCATAGTAGAATTTAATGAAACAGCTTATGATCAAGAATCAGTGGTGGTGAAGAAGGAAAATCAAGCTCCTCTGAAAGAATGGCAAAAAACAAGGCCTCAGAAATTGAAGGAATACTAATTGACATATTTCAATAAGTAGATGCTGCCCTCGACATGTTCACCAGATTGTGCCAAGAAATCTGGAGGACAGCTACCTGGCCAACTGACTGGAAGAGGTCCATATTTTTTTTCCATTTCTCAAACTAGTGCCAACAGAATATGGAAATTAGTGAACAATGTCATTAGTATCACACGCAAGCAAAATCTTGCTGACATTTATTAAAAAACAACTGGAACAGTACAACAACAGGGAACTGTCAGAAATATAAACTGGGTTTAGAAGTGGCATGGCACTGGGGATATTATTACCCATGTCAGGTGGATCTTGGCTGAAAGCAGAAAATACCAGAAGAATGTCTGTTTATGTTTTATTGACCATGCAAAGACTTTTTTTTTTTTTTACTATGCAAAGACATTTGGCTGGGTAGGTTTTTTGACAGATTGTGGCTAACATTGAGAAGCATGGGAATCCCAGAACACTTGATTGTGCTCATGTTAAACCTGTACTTGGAGCAGGAAGCAGTCCTCAGAACAGAGCAAGGAAACACTGTGTGTTTCAAAATCAAGAAAGGAGTGCATCAGGGATGTGTCCTGTCTCCATTCCTTTTCAATCTGTGTATGAAAGAGATCATGTGGAAGGCTGGACTTTATGAAGAAAAATGTGATATCAGGATTGGGGGAAGACTCATCAGCAACTGGGTTATACAGATGACACAGCCTTGCTCACTGAAATTGAGGAGGACTTGAAGTATTTACTGCAGAAAGTCAAGGACTGTAGTCTTCAGTATGGATTGCATCACAACATTGAGAAAACAAAGATTCTCACCACTGGGCCAATTGGCAACATCATGATAGATGGAGCAGTAATTAGGTTGTTCATTGTTCAGGTCCACAATCAACACTCTTGCCACCAGCAATCAGGAAATAAAAAGATTTATTGTTTTGGGAAAGTCTGCTTTCAGGGACTTTTCCAGAGTGCTAAGGAACAGTGATGTCAATCTAAAGACTAAGGTGCATCTGATCAAAACCATGGTCTTCACAGTTGCTTGGTATGCATCTAAGAGCTTGACATTGACTAAGGATGACAAAACGATTAATACCTTTGAGTTGTAGTTTTAGAGAAGAGTATTGAACACTGATCAACACTCAAGAAATTGCAGTGGGAAAGTCTGCTGTCAGGGACCTCTCCAGTTACTAAAGAGCAACAGCGTCAGTCTGAAGTCTAAGGTACTCCTGATCCAGGCCATGGTCTTTGCAATTACTTGTTATGCATCAGAAAGCAGGATAGTGAGTAGAGATGGTAGAAGAATCGATACCTTTGAGCTGTAGTGCTGGAGAAGAGTATTGAATATACCATGAACTGCTAGGGGAACAAACAGCTTTGTCCTAGAGAGAGTGAAACCAGGCTGGTCCTTGGAGGCAAGGACTCTGAAGCTCTGTCTTACATACTTTGGGCGTCTGTCCTTGGAGAGGGACGTCATGCTTGGGAGGGTGGAGGGACAGCTCTGGAGAGGAACACCCTAGATGAGAGATGGACTGACTCAGTGACTGGGGTAATGGGGGTAGGTGTGTCAGAGACACTATGGTTGGCACAGGATAGAGCAGGTTTCAGAGCATTTGTGGCACATAACAACAACAACATTGAACATGGACTGCCAAGAGAACAAACAGAAGAGGGTGAAACCAGGTTGCTCCTTGGAGGCAAGGATTGTGGAGCTCCTTGGAGGCAGGGATTGTGGAGCTCCATGTCACATATACTGCGCATGCTGGCAGCAGGGACCAGTCCCTGGAGAAGGACATCATGCTTGGAAGGGGCGCAGGGGGTGGGGGGGATACTGAAGGAGAGGAAAACCGTGGATGAGATGGATTGACACAGTGACTGTGACATTGGGGGCAGATGTGTCAGAGACAGATTGGCTCAAGATAGGGCAGGGTTCAGAGCTATTGTTCATAGAGTCATTATAAATCATAGTCAACTTGACAGCACATAACAACAACAACATATACAAGGTAAGATGTTCACTGTTGGTTTAGTGGCAGAATTCTCACGTTCCATGGGGGAGACTCGGAATCCCTTTCTGGCAGTTGCACGGCCATTGCCTCTCTGATATTGGAAGCTAGTGTGCTGCTATGATACTGAACAGATTTCAGCAGAGCTTTTAGTCTAAAATGGGTGAGGAAGAAAGGCCTGGCTGTCTATTTCTGAAAATTCGTTTATGAGAACCTTACAGCTCATAGTGTTCCCGATCACAACCAGTTAGGGGGATGGCACAAGAGTAGGTGGTGTTTCACTCCATGGTGCATGGGATCACCACAAGTCAGAGACAGCGAAACATGACCAACAAGACAACAGCAATGAGCCAGGTACCAGTCCTGAACTTTGCATCTACTAACTCACCTAATTCTCATAATAACTCTGGTACAGAAACTTGTTACTCTTCTCATCTTCCAGATGAGAAAACAAAATGTCACACACAGAGGCGCCCCCTGGTCAGACAGGAAATGACTGACAGTTTTTGGTGTGAAGTCAGGCAGTCTGAAGGCCACGCTCTTCACACACTCACTTCCTTGATAATGTGTGACCATTGTCCCAGTTTACTGAAGAGGAAGTTGAGGCTCAGTGAGGTTTGTTGCTTATCCACAGTCATTCAGACAGGGAGTGGAGGAGCCAGTGGTGGAGACAGGTTGGCTCCGGCTCCCCTCCACTAGGCTGTCATCACAAATATGGCACAGTGCCTGCTTCTGTCCTTGTTGGCCCTGCCCAACGGCCAGATGCATGGGTAAAATAGAAGGCTGGGACTAAAATTCTTCCAAGTCTAGGGTTAAAGCCAGTGGAAAACCTTTCTCTCTCCTCTTTCCTCTCCCCTCCCCATTCTTCCCCTCCCCTCCCTCTCTTCTTTCTCTCTCTCATACTGGTTTATTTACAAAGTTTGAATATACTGTTTTTCACACTGGATCTTTCTCATTTCCTTCACCCCCATACACCCATCCAAATTGTACAACTCTCTGAATAACTGCTCCCCCCCACCCCGTCCTCACCCCTCTGCTTCCACCCTCCCCCAGCACGGATCCTCATACTCATTCTACAGTAATGTTTTTATACAGTATTTGTCCTTATGGGACTGAGTTAGTTCACTCAGCATAATGCTTTTCAGTCCCTCCCAAGTTAAGTTAATTTACAAAGTCTTTGCTCCTGCATGTTGCGTAGTATTCCATTGTGTGACTGTACTATAATTTCTCAATCGATTTGATTGTGGTTGAACATTTGGACTAGTTTCCGTGTTCTTGCAATGGTGAGTAACACTGTTACGAACATTGGTGTACAAGTCTCCATTTGTGCCTCAGTTCTCATTTTCTTGGGGTATATTCCAAGATGTGAAATAGCTGGGTCTTATGGAATTTCTGTGTTCAGCTGTGGAAAGTATTTGATGGCACATTCTGTTTTAAATATCATGTCTTTGATTACAGAGAGGCCAGGACGTGTGCTCAACACTTGGGTGTTGTCAGCTTGCTCTGAGCCTTGAACCCAGCATTTCCTTGTGATGTGTAGCACTCCCTTCAGGGGGACTGACGTGATTGTTCTTGTTTCCTCCACAGACAGCGAGACAGTACACTACCACTATGGGCCGAAAGACCTGGTCACCATCTTATTCTACATCTTCATCACCATCATCTTGCATGCTGTGGTTCAGGAGTATATTTTAGATGTAAGTGATGGGCCTGAATTCTGAGATCAGAACCTGGGGAAACATTTTTGGTTGAAGGTGCTCAACGAGGGAGGAAACCTGCTCCTCTGAGTCCATTCATCCCCTAATTTCCATGCCCTCATTGGTTCTATTATTAGTCCTGGTGGCAAAGTAGTTAAGTGCTAGGCTTTTACCTAAAAGGTCAGCAATTTGCACCCACCAGCAACTGGAAAGGAAAAAGAGCACTTTACTTCCGTTAAAAATGACACACTCTTGGGAACTCTGGGGGACAGTTTTCCTCTATTCTGGGAGGTCTCTGTGATTCAGATTCAGTTCAGTGGCAGCAGATTAAATTGGTTCCGTTGACTGCCTTCCACCTCTACACTTTGATCTCCATCCAGTCTCACAGCCGTCTTTAGTCAACATATGGGACAGAGTATTTATTATGTGGGGAAAGAACTGCCTGAAATATGACAAGCCAATGTCCTTGTAAAGAAGCCTTGGTGGCAGCCTGTGTAATGTATTGGACTGCTAACCGAAAGGTCAGTAGTTTGAATCCATCGCTTCTCTGTGAGAGAAAGACAACTTCCTGTAAAGATTATAGCTTCAGAAACCCGATGAAGGATTGTTCTAAGTCAGAAAACAACTCTTTTTTTTTTTAAATTTTTATTATTTTGTGTGCGTGTACCGTCAAATCAGATCTGACTGGTACAGGAGGAGATTGTCCCTCCTTCTCTGGCAGAGCATCTGGTGGATTCGAACCGTGTTCCTCTGGGATTGCAGTAGAAAACAACTCTTTAGCAGTGAGTTTAATGTCCCTATAAACTGTGGTACTTAACATATTTGAAAATGCTTTCTCTATTTCTACTTTGAAAATTATCCTTGTCTTAAGTTAGCACTTTGTACACACAGTAGTTTTATCCTTTAAAATTTAGGTTGTGGTTGGCTTCAGATATCTGACGGTGTTCAGCCAGAAAGTTTTGAACCTACTGGGTACCAGTATAGTTGTTTCTTCATTTATGGGTTTTTCCTCTTACTTTAGAAAATCAGCAAAAGACTTCATCTCTCCAAGGTCAAGCACAGCAAGTTCAATGAATCTGGACAACTCTTAGTCTTTCATCTCAGCTCTGTGATATGGTGCTTCTACGTGGTGGTAACGGTGAGTGGTCCTGGGACCCCAGAATCTTTTCCCCAAGCCAGAACTCCTGAAGCTTTTCCCCAGTTCTTGAGTCTTGAGGTACCACTGTTTTCCTGTCTTTGCTAGTAAAAATGAATAGTGAAGGGTTTATAAATCAGTTACTTTTGAGTCAGTTTCTACTCATGTTATGTCTGTATATGTCAAGAGTAGACCTGTACTCCTTAGCATTTCAAAGACTGAGTTTTTGGGGAAGTAAATGATGAAGTCTTTTTTCCAAAGCATCTCTAGATAAACCTGAAACTCCAGTCTTTCAGTTAACAGCTGAACATGTTAGTCATTTGCATTACCCAGAGACTGTCAAGGGCTGGACAGGGAAGAAATGGGTAAGAAGCACATTGACTTAGAGTACCTTCTTGCAACTGACAGGATTTTGTATCCTCATGGTGTTACTGTGTGAGAGAGGAAAACACTATGGATGTGATTTTTCTGAAGTGTCACTTCCCTGAAAAGGAGCACTTGTTATAATTACTGTGTGAGATTAATAAAATACCATATACCTACATGGCACTTAGTGTTTTTCAAACCTACAAAAAATGTTAAGATAAATTTTGCGCCCATTCCAGTATGCCTTATGGAGTGAAGAAACCCAGGCTCTTTTCAGCAATAGTCGCATGATTTGGAAGGGGCAAGGATAAAGCTTGACTTCGGTCGGGTTCTGAGTCCCGTGCACTTCCTATTTCACCATGTTTGCCTCTCAGAAGGAAGACGAGCCGCAGCCCTGTCCACACGTCAGATTCTGTGCGAGTCAAGGCCAATCCCCCAGATGTCTCTAGGACCAGACAACTTCTCTACCTCCCACTTCTACACAATAAGGCTCTTCTTTCAAGGAACCTTTGAGACAACAGAATTCCTCTGTACAAAGGAATGTGAGCAGTCCTTTGGGATTCGTTGTAACAGGAGCCAGCCTATAGTGCTGGCTGTTAGTTTAGTCCAACAGAACAAGATGCTGCCGGATCCTGTACCATCTTCATTGTTGCCGGTCTGCTTGAGTCCATTGTTACAGCTACTGTATTTTTTAGTACCTTCAGCCTCGTGATCTTTTCCTCTAGCATTATATTGGACAATATTCTAATGTGAGCCATAGAATTTTCACTGGCTAAATTTTGGAGGTGTATCTCCATGCCTTTCCTCCTACTCTGTCTTAGTCCAGAAACATCACTGACAAAGGACACACAGACAAAGAAGATTAATCAGAACTGGCTTTGACAAGCACTGTGGCATTTGGACAAGAACAAACTGGGAGGAGGGTAGAGAGAATAGTGCAACAATGAATGAATTGAAACCCAAAATCTCTGTAAATGTTTATGAAAATTAATAAAATATAATTATAGGGGAAAAAAAAAGAAACCTCACTGAAACGTGTCCACCATGGACAAATTTCAGTGGCATAATATCTAGTATCGTAGCAACCCTCAAGCCACCACAATACAGCAAGCGACAGATGAATGATGGTTTACAATGCTAGGAAGTGCTTAATTAGTACCCACCCCACCTGGTTGTACCACCTGCCTATAAGCTGCTTTCTTTCTCAGGAGCTAAAATTATCCCAACAAAGACCCAGACTCAAGGTTTAGAGAATCCTGTCATCTTCTTAAAGTTTCCTTTCTTGCTTTCCCTGAAACATTCAACTTCTTTCTTCTTTAGGACTTGAGAAACAGTTACGAGATTTTATATCATAAGGAATTCAGTATGCAGAACTGAAAGATTAAATTCATATTCTCAAAGCAGGAGTCAACATGTCCTTTTCTGTGTTGGCTTTATTTCTGTTATTATTGAATTATAGAAATGTTTTCCTAGACAACACTAAGAATTTTAATCAAGGGACCCACACTTCCGTACTGCCAACAGGGCTCCTGTATTATACTGTTCCAGGAGGGAGATTTTAATTGTGTTCTGGGTGAACAGCGCCCCCTGTCTTTGTGCCGTGCACATTCTGGCACTAGGAAGTTTAGCTACTTTTGGATTTCAAACTTCACCCAACTGCCTGTTGACCCAGCTGCTTTGACGATGAATGGTTAGCACAGACCTTTAACTGATCTTTGAGAGGCATTGCTTCATCTCTGAGTCACTCTTAGCTTTTCAACCTCAGCCCAGGTGTGACATGTTTAGACCAGATTTGGGGGCCAATGAGTTGTTATTTGACACCTTTTCTAGAGCATGCAGTGTTTTTCTGAGATCTTCAAGGGCTTAAAAATGATGATGCTAATTAGCTTGGGATTGTGTAGCACTTGCCTTGTGCAAGCTGGTAACAGTGTTTTAGGGTGAGAGCCAGCTCCCCTCACTCCACATACTCAACAAGAAATGGAGTATGGAAAGTGCCAATCACCCCAGTGCCTAAGAATTCTGCTTAGCTCCTTGTCTCCACCCCTCCATCTGGACCATTCTGCATGAGATGAATGTGAATGAGGAAGGAAGAGAGGTAATTTGGGGGAGGGGAATAACCCCAAAGAAGCTAGATTTTTTGTTGTTTTTGTTTATTTTTTTAAATGGTATTTTTATGTTATCACAACATTTTCAAGATTGAAAACATTTTTTATGACTTACATTGTTCTTGGCCCTTCTTTTTCCTTTACCCTCTGTACCCACAGGTCTTGCCGACTCTACTTCCAGAGCAAATTGAGATTTTGTTAACTACTCTCTACCTCCACTGTTACCCCTAGTTCTGGGGGTATTTGCCATCCAGGTGACATTTGCCATTGTGCTGGTGTCTAATGTGTAGAGGCCAGGATGTTGCTGAATGCCCTACATTGTGCAAGGCAGCCCCGACTACAGACCAATGTTGTTGTTTGTTGTTAAGTGCCATCGAGTCATAGACGAGTCAAAGGGACCTTATGAATAAAAGACCTGAACACTTGTATATATAACTTTCATCATTTCCCCAAGTTCATAGAGTTTCTGGAGGAGAGTTATTTCGGAAGTGGATGCCAATCCTGCTTCCAAGCTTATTTAATTGGGGAGCTCCACCAGACACTGTCCACTGTGGGTAACCATTATCGCATTTGATGCATCAGTGTCACAGTGTTTAACATCACAGCAACCACACATTAACTCTGTATAGCAAATGGACGGACCAGTGTTATACCACTTAGAAGAATGTTTGACCAAAACCAAAACCAGGCCTGAGGGCCACAGATTGAGATCACCCACCTTTGGCTTGGTCGCATAACTTTCTATCCATCAGGTCCACAGAGCTCTCCAGCCTAAAATGTTAGTGTTGCTACCTCTGAGAAACCTTGCTCTAGGTCAAACCACTGTCATCATGCCTAGACCAACAAATAGCTTCCTTCTAGAAGAACTCTATATCCACTTTTTTTTTCTTTTCAGGTTAGTAAAATATACTTACTTATTTTTGGCTTTTGGCTTTAATAACTGGAAATTTAATTTATATACATACATATTTTATTTTTGGGTGGGTTTTTTTTTCATTCATATAGTGTTTCTTACTATCATTCCTATACATTGTGTCTCATGAAATTAATCACTATTGATCTGTGCCTGCTACCCCATCTTTCAGAGTTTCATTGTTCTGTATCCACTCTTGTACTCTTATCTGCACCCCAGTCCTCAATTTTCTGCTCAGACAGAGAGATCTGTTAAAAAGATAAATTAAGCCATGTGTGTGTACATCACAACAAATTATGGCTAACACTGAGAAGAATGAGAATCCCAGGGCTCCCAAATAACCCATGGACTGCCAAAAGAATAACATTTTGGAGAAAAGTATAACCAGGTGCTCCTTGGAGACAAAGACGGCCAAACTTCACTTCACATACTTTCCATTTTAGAAGAGGCCAGTCCTTGCACAAGGACATGATGCTTAGAAAGGTGGAGGGTCAGTGAAAGAGTGGAAGGTCCTCAATGAGATGAGTCGACATAATGACTGAAAGAGCTCAAGGATGTCAGAGGCGATGAGGATGACACAGGATAGAGCAGGGTTCAGATGTGGCATTCAGTGGGTCGCTATGAGTTGTAGTCTGTTTGACAGCACATAAGGAGGACATCTTCGACTTAGAATCCCGCATCCTACAGGGAGGGCACTGCTTCCACCTCAGTCAGGTGACCCTTGCTCATCTGGTTCCTCTAGTCTCCTCTCACACCACTCCCTTGTCTCTGGTCCCAGCCCTTTCTTATCTCTGCTCCGCCCATTCTACTGGCCATTCTTATTCCTGGGCTCTGTGCTGGTGGTCTCCTCTGTGCAGATGTCCTGCCTCTGGCTTCCTAGCACCAAATCCTTCTTGTCATCCAAATCTCCACCCTTCCTGACAAGCCTGTCCACAGAATCCCCTCCTCCATTTCTATTTTCTGCACAGTCCCCATTTCTGTGGCATTTTTTTTATGACTCATGTGTGCGTATTCTGTTGTCTTATCTCTTCCACTGGATTGTAAATTGCAAGTTGGTTACGTCCCCGGTACAGTACGTGCTAACCGCTCAGTAAATGATGATTGAGAGAATGAACAAATAAATAAAAAAAATGCCTCCATTTGTTCCACTTGATAACATTTTTAAAGTAATGAACTTATTATTTTATTTAAAAACCCATAGGTTATTTTTTTTCACAATAACAAAGCATGAAAAATTAAAGCAAAATGATACTACACATCCTTCCTGTGAAATAGAGCCAATTTTATTTTAATACTGACTTCAGCTATTTCTCTCAGTATGTATACATGGAGCTTTATGGGATTAAGAATGGCCAGCCAATAATTTTGTAAGACAGACAACCCTTAAAAGAGCCCTGGTGGTGGAAAACAATAGACTATATGTACTGCTAACTGCTGAGAGGTTGGCAGTTTGAATCCACCAGTTGGACCTTCAGAGAAAAATGGGCTGTCTCCTCCCATAAAGTGTTACAACCTTTGGAACCTGATAAGAACTGACTCAATGGCGGAGAATTTTTAGTTCTGTGCATGTATGAGAGAGGAAATATCTTTTCTTATTAGTTAGGAGGCTTGACGTCCAAGTTGAGGGTATCTGCTCTAGAGAAGGCTTTCTCTTTATTTCGACTCTAGGGGAAGGTTCTTGTCCTTTTAGCTTCTATTTCCTAGTCCCATGGGAAGCATCACATGACTTGCCATCAATATACCCCCATCTCTTCGTTCAACTTTAAACCTCCCTTTGACTAATTTGTTTTCCAGAAAGGACAGAATCACCACCACTCCAGGAAGGAGCTCTGGTGGCTTAGTGGTAAGAACATGCACTGCAGTCCCAAAGGCACGCTGTTCACATCCACCAGCTTGCTCTATGGAAGAAGAATGGACAGTCTCGTTCTGTGTATTTTGTGCCCTGAAAACCCTCTGGAGGGTCAGCTGTGAGTCGGTTCCGGCTACCTTTACACATGGCTATTCGTGGTGGATCAGTGATACCCAGTATGTCTGAATCTAGATGACAGCTGGCTGTGTTATGACTGGTTTCTGCTGTTTTTGTTGATTCTTCTTGTTCACACACCAAGAAAGCAGCCTGCTGGGAAAAGGGAGGGACTGTTCCAGCTTGCTTAGGCCTTGCTTTGCTCATGATCTAATTTGTAAAAATCAGATGAGCTCAGAGGATGTCAAAACCTTCCCCAGACCATCTGTGGAGGCGCGTTGATGAATATGATTTGGGGTGGCTAACAGGTAGCTTACTTTGCCAGATGTGGCTGCCTGTGAACTCAGGCGGTCTGGTGGCTGAACACAGAGGGTAATCCCCAGCTCCATTCCCCACTCAGCCAGCTGCTTGGCCTGACGTCTGGAAAAGACTGTGCTCGGAGCAGTGAGTCATTTTTCCTCTGGCTCCCTCTGTGCTCTCCCTTCCAGCCCCTCCCTGCTCACGACCCAGGGGACTGGACCTTTGCAAGCAGACAGTATTTTTCTAGGGAGCTTTCTTTGCTTGGGCTTCAAAGTTCTGATCTGTTTGTTGCTTGAGAAAAGAAACCAAACTAAGGTAGGTTCCTATTTAAAGTCACAAGATGACCAGGGCTTTTTATTTCTCTTCATGCTGCTGCTTTTGGTTCATCCTTTTTTGTCCTTTCCCCCTCCTTTATCTTGGCAAAATTTCCTCTCCCACTTTAATCCCAGAAATGCCTTTTTTCTCATTAAGCACATTCCTGCTTCCTCTAGGAAAGAATTTCCTCATCTATTTTGCTGGAGTAAAATAGAGGGTAAGGAAGATCACTAAGATACTGTAATGCAAGCAGGTATGTGAACAGCAGAGAGGGAAGGCACAGATTATCTCTGAACAATGTGGGCTTTTCCGAGAGCTCAGTACCCTCCACCTGGAAGACCAGAGTCTTCCTTAGCTGCTCCTTAGTCTTTGTGGTGGAAGGGTGAGGGAGAAGAGATTAGAAATGAGGCCATAAGGAGCTAGTCTGAGATCATGCCTTTCAAATCTAAGTTACATTGGCAGCATTAGTGTATGTGTTTGATTACACCCAAATACACTATCATGATCCTCTTTAAAAGTGCTAAAGAGCAAGGATATCAGTTTAAAGACTAAGGTGCACCTGTCCCAAACCATGCATTTCAGTTATTTTGTATGCATCTGAAAGTTGGACAGTGAATAAGGAAGACTGGAAAAGAATCAGTGCCATTGACTTGTGGTATCAATGAAGAATATTTACTCCCATGGATTACTAAAGGAACAAACAAATCTATCTTGAAGAAAGTACAAACAGGGTGCGCCTTAGAGGCATAGATGGTGCAACTTCGTCTCAGGTACTTTGGGCATGTTGTCAGGAAGTTTTTGGGAAAAGACACGACGATGGGAAAGGTGATGGGTCAGTGAAAGAGAGGAAGACTCTTGTCAAGATGGATTGACACAGGGACTGTAACTATGTAACAAAGGAGATTGTGAGGATGGTACCAGATAGGGCAAGATTTTGATCTGTTGTTCATCAGATGACTGTGAACTGTAGTCAGCGTAACAGCACTTAACAACAACAACAACAACATTATGCTAATAAGGTGGTGAGTTAAGGGCTACGGACCCTACTCAGAACGTATGTGGATAAGTCAGAAGCAGTTGGTGACTGGTGAGTGGGTAGATCAGCTTCTACTTAGAAATAAAATCCGGAGTTGACAGTCCAAAGTATAATAATCTAAGATACTTCTCCAAATGATACTGACTTTCTCATTTTCTTGCATTGCTTTCTAAACCTTTGTCTTTAATCTCCATGTGAATATTTGACGTCTCAATCTACTTATCAAAACCACCAGCCTCATTTATGTTCTGATTTACTGAAGCAACCTGGCTGGAGGTTATTGGACCAGACAATTAGTGTCCCAGCTCACATTTCAACTGTGTTGGTACAAACCATCTAATTTCAGGGATCATTCAGTCTGTTCTGTAATATCCCCTCTCTGAGTGACAAATAAGGGCTTTTCTTTCCCCAGAAAAGAGAATCAAATAAAACATTTGTCATTTGTTCATCTACACAACAAGCTTTTATCACACTCTCATAGTGTCAGTTGACTGTTGCTTGTGATGGATTGTTTCCAGGGTGTATTTTGTGATCTTTGATTATAAATTCATCTTTACAATATAACGGCTTATCTTTGGGAATCCTATATACCCTTGGAAGAGGACATGCGACAAAGGTGTCACTTGCCCAAGAACGTGTTTATACTAATTTCTTAGCTTGCTGGTTCCTGAGGCAAGCCAGTAATGGAGATTTGAATTCTAAACCCATGGCCTGAGAACATCAGGGGATAATTTTTTTTTAATTCTCTCTTCATCTAGAGTCTAAGCTGTGATGGGTTCCTTCATCTCTGTGTTGATCATCAACTTCTTTTAGGTATACTCTTTCTCTGGGGTTGTAGTCTTTCAAGGGCGCTGATTTTAACCAGGGGTCTCAGTTCCACTTTCCAGGTCACCATCTTCTGTCCTCACATGGGCACCAAACAAACATCTGCCCTAAAACTCGTGCCTTCTGGGACGCCCCAGCATCCCTTTACTTACTGCTATAGTTTTTAAGCTCTTTTAGGGAAGTCTGGTGGTTTGGTACCAGCAGTCAGGAAATCGGAAGATGTATTGCATTGGGCAAGTCCACTGTGAAGGACAGAAAAATGTTGAAGAACAATGATGCCACTTTAAAGACTAAAGGGTGTCTGATCCAGACCTTGGTCTTCTCAGTCACCTGCTGTGTATCAGAGAGCTGAACAGTGAATAAGGATGACAGAAGAAGAATTGATGCCTTTGTGTTATAGTGTTGGAGAAGAATACAGAATGTCCCATACATTGCCAAAGATATGTCTTGCAAAGTACAGCCCGATTGTTCCTTGAAGGCAAAGCTTTGTCTTTCGTACTTTAGAGATGTAGCCAGCTGAGGCTATTCCTTGGAAAGGGACGTCATGCTTGGAAACATGGAGGGTCAGCAAAGGAGAGGAAGACCCCCAGTGAGATGTACTGACAAGATGACATCAGCAATGGGCTCTAGTTTGTTAAAGATGCTGAGAGTGGCCCAGGAGGGGGCAGGGTTCGAGTTGGCTCTTCATAAGGTTGCCATGAGTTGTTCTTGACAATACCTAACAACAACAACAAGAAGGGTCTTAATGGCGAGGAGTTGCACTGACAACTGAAAGGCATGTGATTGGAATCCATGAGCTGCTCCTTGGGAAATCAGTGGGCAGTCTCCCCACCTCCGTGTGATTTACAGCCTCTTAAAATCTACTAGAGGATCACTTAGGGGTTGGCTCTGACTTGATAGTACATAACAACATCCCCTTTGGGGGCCATAGGGAATTTCCCTTTCTTATTGTGAGGTCAGCTGTGCATTTAGAAGAGTATTTGTTTTGGTTTCATCCAGCGTTAGTAAGATGTTTTATGATAAAAACAAATTCCACTACCATTTTGTATCCCTGCATGTCCCTTCTGAATCCCTCCTTGTTCAGTCTGTGTAGGGCACTGGCCTAGACACTAGAGATGGAAAAGAAGAGTTAAAAAGCCACAGGAATGAACTTTCAGAGTAGGGAAGGTAACTGGTAGTAATGATGCAGTGTGATAATTGCTGGGTCCAGGCCCGTGTGAGACTTATAGGGACCTTCCAGTGTTTTCATCTGTACTTTATTCAAACTGGGTTTTCCTCTTTCCAGTGAAATGGTGACTCAGGTCTGTTTGGTTATATTTGCACAAGCTTTTCGTAAGTTCGGGCTTCTACGCACAGCCGGCTTAGAATCAGACACTCTTGTATAAACTGTCACATTTATTTCCGCAATACCTCTGTCAGGGGAGTTATCTGTAGCTTTATTTTGGCAGACGAGCTAGCTAGCCGAAGCTTCTTGATGTTCCGTGCCATTAAGAATCCCCTCGTGGCTGCCCCGACAGCAGGTTTCAGAGGCTGTAAGGGAAGTGCAGTGACTTGGCTGAGAAGAGACAACTTGTAATATCAGACCTGTGGTCAGGCAGGTTTCTACTCTTCCAACTCTGTCCTGGCTCTTTCTAGATAAAGAAATCAGTCAGATGAGAATGGTCGCCACACCGGCACTTTATTCCAGTCTTTTCTGCTCTTGTGTCTCCGGCAGCAGGGAGCTGCATGTTTCCAGCAGGCCTCGTGTCTCCTCCTCTCAATGCCACCTCTTCTTTCTTTCCTACCACAGGAAGGCTACTTAACAAACCCAAGGAGCCTCTGGGAGGACTACCCGCATGTGTATCTCCCGTGAGTATGTCTTCACTGTCCCCAGAGGGGAGACTGGTTGGCCCACTAGCTTTTCCCTCTCAGAATATGGCCAGCAGTGCGAGGCCAGCTGGCAGTGTGACTGGGTCACCCCTGGGAGCTGATTCGGCCAGGGCACTGTGGAAACTGACTTTCCCCATAGTCTTTGCCCAGAGAATCCCACGATGAATGGTCCGCTGCTCTAGTCCCATCACAGGAAATCTCTTAAACCGTGTGGGGCAGATACAGAAGCCGAGTATCTCCATGAATTTCTCAGGCCCGGTGCCTCCTTGGCGGCTGCTCGGATTCCTGGCACCTCGTCCCCTCTGCCCTCCCGTGGCTGAGGCTCAGCGGAGACAGCCCTCTCCTGCCCTTCCTTTCCTGGGAACCCCCCTCTTCTGGGGGTTCTCTGTGCTGTCAAGATGTCAGGGGAACTGTTGTTACCCTACCAAAGGCTGATTTGCAGCCCTGCTTGGCTACTTAAGGGAGCTCTGGTGACGTGGTCCATAGGGAGCCACACTTAACCCAAAGGCGATGCTTCTTTGGAGTTTGAATCCACCCGACGTTTTGAGAGGGAAACATGGACAATCTTCTCTCATGCAATTTACAGCCTCTGAAACCTTCTCAGGGGCAGCTATGAACTCTCCCCTGCCCTGAGCTATTTTCATTAATTCCCACACACTGACCCCCATTGCCCCAGATACTCTATCAATCATCTCATCCGGGGTCTTCCTCTCCTGCGCTATCCCTCTACCCTTCCAAGTGTAATGTCCCTCTCCAAGGACTGGCCTCTCCTAGCCACATTCCTAATAGGTTAATGAATACTCCTCCTCTACGTTATTAGTAAATTTCATTTGTTCTTAATGGCTTTTCCATGTCCCTTGAAGTGATCTTGGATGTGGAATGAGGGCACTGGGCACTGAAAAAGCCAGAACATCAGGCTCAGGAGGGTAGTGATGCCGGCTCATGTTCCCTCACTCCCAGACCAGCTCCTCCCGGGCATGGCCCTTAACACTTCCCTCCCATCTTGGCGAGCCCTGCGGGGTTATTTTCCTTCATCGCACCTGTGTGACTCACTCTCTTGCGTCCAGTTTCCAGGTAAAGTTTTTCTACCTATGCCAGCTGGCGTACTGGCTGCATGCACTTCCAGAGTTGTACTTCCAGAAGGTCCGAAAGGTGAGTGCTCACTTCTTCCTCAACCCTCTTAGGGGCCATTCATTCCCCACCTTCCCGCCTGCAGTCTCCAGTGTTTGATAGGCTCCGTGGGGATACTCTGGGATTGAGTGAAATTCTCCCTCATGCCTGGGAGAAGTTTTCCATCTTAGAAACCACGAGAGTAGACATCCAGCACCAGTTTCCTGCCTGTCACGCATGTGGCTCTAGGAGAAATCGGACTTCTGGTATTCTGGATAGTAGATGAGGGATTTTTGCCTTTCCCACAGTTTTTGTTCTTTGTAGTTTCCCTTTGAATTATTTCCAAATCCTGTTCCTCAGTCCTTATCTTTTTCTCAGACCAAACCTTTCCATCTAGTGCTGGGCCTGGATCTCCTGGCCTCCCAGTCAGACTTTACAGCAGCCCCATTCATGCTAATCTTGGGTGGCGTGGTGTCTAGCCCTCCCTCTTTCCTCTGCACTGTCCCTCTCCCTCCAACCCCGTGTCTTTATTTAGAGAAAACTCAAATTTGCATGTTTTTTGTTTTCAGGAGGAAATTCCTCGTCAGCTCCAGTACATCTGTCTGTACCTGGTCCACATAGCCGGAGCTTACCTCTTAAAGTGAGTGGTTTCTCTTGCTTGGTTGCATCCATGCATCAGTCTGTACATGCATTCCATTAGATGCCTTCCATGTGCATTTATTAGATGTCGTCTGTGTGCCAGGTACAATGCTATACCTGGGAACACAGAGAAAATGGAAGATTCCATCCTTGCAGTGTTTATTCCCAGCCAAGTAGGAGAGACAGTGATAAATGTCTATAAGGGCAGTTTGATGAGATAAGAGCTATAATGTGATGTGAACACTATGCTCTGGGAGCTTAGAAGAGTGACCACCTGAGCCTGAGAGAGATCCAGAGAAGTCTTCCAAGACTTGACAGCACTTGACTGTGGCTTTGCAGTATGCAGGCCACTTAAAGCTGGGCCCTGGCTCCTGGTACCCAGGCTCCAATGCTGCTAGAGGTCCTGGTCCCAGAGCTGATTTTAGATCGAATGGGAGAGTGGGTAGGCCTCGCTTCATCATTTTCCTGCTTGGTTTCTCTACTACTTGAGAGCATTGCTATAGTGATGGGCCTTGAGTCTCTTATGGAAAGAATCATATTGATTATTAGACAATGCAATGGCTTCTCGGGCATTGGCACTGCAGGACAGAAAAATGCCCTGCACTTTTCTCTGAGCCAGCCTTTTGAGAATTTGCTGTGTCAGACTTTCTTCTGAGGTGCCTGGCAGTCCTCAGCCCGTTTTCTCCCACATTCCCATAGCCAGGCATCTTGTGAGAGCAGCTGACTCAGGGACATGGAACCAGGGAAGGCAGCAGACCTCAAGCTCTGTCTGGTCTCTTGCCTCCCAGAGGACCTGTCTCTGGAGGCCTCGTGCGAAGCTTCCACCTGGATCTTGACAAAGTGGAATGTGTGGTGGAGTCATTTCTTCTCTTGGGTGGGAATGAAGAAGCACCTTGCACTGCTGACCTACCATTGCGTGGGGTGAACTAAGCAGAGTGTGTGGTGCGGAACCACATTGAAGCTGTAGCTCCTGTCACTCTTTGTCATAACCTACCCTTCCAGAGATGAAGGGAGCTCTAAGGCGCATATTCTCCACATCTGACAGTGTCCTAGGAAAGAAGGTTAGGCACAGCCTCTGCTAGGACTGAGTTCCGTGAATTGTGGCCTTGGAGGGAGTTGAGGGCAGAGAGCAGCATTTTCTCCACAGCCACAGCCACCTTGCTCCCAGGGAGACCGGCACCATTGCTGGGAGCAGTGACTGCTAGCACAGCTCCTTAAGGAGCATGACCTCTTCTCCCCTCATTCTGTCTTTACATTCAGAAATGAGTGTAGAGAGAGGGGCGACCTGAGACTACAAGTTTTCCCAAGAGAGACGGAACTTGTAAGATGCTGAATGATCGGGGGTGGAGGGGTAGTGGATCTTCCTTTTGTAGAAGAGCCTGCATTTTTGGAGTCTTTCATTTACTTAACACATACTTGAGCACCTCTTTGTGCCAGGCACTGCTTGGGGAGCTGCACATACTTCCGCATAAGGACAGGTGAAGGCTTTTCTCTAGAGGCTTCCATCCTAGCAGGATTCAGACCATGAACAAAGCAGCAAATGAATAAGTAAGGAAACAAATAAAGAAAGCTCATAGAGCAGAGGAATGTAATGGAGTAACTTGTCTATGTGATGTCTTTGGTGTGGCGAGAGAATGCCTCTCTGAGGCCTGAATGACAAGAGCCAAGCACATGAAGATCTGGGGAGAGAGCTGTGCAGACCTATTCAAAAGAAGGTGCAAAGGCCCTGAGGTGGTATCAGCATAGACGCTGAGTGTAGCTGCAGGTAGAAAATGAAGTTTGAGATAAACATATCATGGACCATACCATGTTGAGGTCTGTAAACCTTGATGAAGAGAGTGGGTAGTTTTTTACATTAATCACCCCCCACCCCCAGTATGCCCACTCAGCGTACAAAATCCCATGGGATTTCTCATTTCTTTGGTCAGATCCTCATTTTTCAGTTCCTGTGAGCGCATTACTGCATTAACTTCACAAAGTGCTGCACGTTGAATGGGCTTTGTAACCTCACGTAGCTGTCTCTACACATTGTGCTTGAACTGAATCTCACCATCTGTACACTGACTGCTCTGAAAAGTTGTTCACAAGTCAGGCGTAGAATTAGGCTGGTGCTGTGTCTGACTGTCGCTGGTTTTATGGTAGATAGTTTTGCATTAAGTTGAGTTTTGTGTTGTGGCTCATGTCTTAGCTGTGAAAATTTGAGTAATGGGAAACCAGACGATGAGAACTCCTAGTGATTCTGCATGAAAGTTCAGCATATTTCTTCTGAGCACCTTTTAGGTGCTTGGTTCTGGGCTAGGTGACACAGGGTGCGAAGTGCTATGAAGAGCCTCGCCGTGGTTCTCTGTGGGAGCAGCTTGGGCATCTGACACAGGTAGGACAGGTGAAAGAGGGTTGGTATTAGGAAAACATGACCGAGAAACCACGTCCTAGAGCAGGAGGTAGGGGGAACCAGCCAGGGAAGGTGGGAGTGCAGCGTGCAGGCCCCGGGCAGCCGAGCTGAGGTCTGGAAGCTTTGCAGAGGCATTCAGTTTGGTTTTTGTCCCTGCAGCCTGAGCCGCCTGGGCCTCATCTTGCTGCTGCTGCAGTATTCAACGGAGTTCCTCTTCCACATGGCTCGGCTCTTCTACTTCGCAGATGAAAACAATGAGAAGCTGTAAGTGTTGCTCAGGCAGCCTGGGCCCCCGCCTCAAATGTCCTTCAGGTGCTGTTGTGAGGGATACCCCAAGTTTATTTTTTTTCTTGGAGCCTCTTTTTCCTCAATTCCTTGTCCCTCTTGGGAACTCCAGTGGCCTAGAAAGTAGGGAGGTGCACTGCTAATCCAAACACAGCACCTCTCTGATGGTTCGAATCCACTAGAAGCTCCTTGGGAGAAGGATGAGCAGCTTCCTGCCCTGTGATCCGTGGCCTCAGAAAACCCACTGGAGGGCCAGCTGCGAGTTGGTTCCAACTTGACTGGCAATGAGTTTGGGGTTGGTTTTGGTTTGGTTTTTTTTTTTTTGGTGTTGGTTGGTTGGTTTGTTTCTTTTTTTTAGTTGTTCCCCTAGCACCTTCCGAGGCCATTTCTGATTCTCCCCTTCACGTGGGGTGTCTTCCTGAAGACCTAGGTAGAGCTGACTTTCCTTTTCTGCCTCTGTGAGCAGGTTTAATGCTTGGGTTGCTGTGTTCGCGATCACCCGCTTCTTCATCCTCACCCTTGCTGTGCTGGCTATCGGCTTTGGACTGGCCCGCACAGAAAACCAGGCATTTGACCCTGAGAAAGGCAACTTCAACACCTTGCTTTGCAGGTAAGTGGGTCATAAGCCCAAGAGGACGAGTACGGGCTCCCTTAGCCCTGCTTCCTGTACAAGCTGGCGAAGCTGTGCCTCCTGCCTACAGGTGTTTTAGCTAGAACTCTCCAGCCATTAGACACACTTGGAGGGGAGATCTCAGCTGTAAAACGATCAAGGGCCCCGTGGGGATGGCCCCGTCTGACATTTACCAACTTCACAAAGGGGAGTGTCCTTTCAATAGCATCAGTGACACAAAACCAATTCCCATAAGGTCAGGCATGTCCCCCACACTCCCATACCTCCTTCTACCCATCTCAACAACAAGCTCACTGCTTTGCTGGGTCCAAAATCCGAATACAGTAGCTCACAGACCGTACAGAACCATGTTGAAGAAGTCAAAGGTAATAATCCAGATTAGTAGCAGAATACAATCAGGATAGCATCTGAAATATGTACATAGGCACCTCAGCCTTGAGCCTCATGGCTTTAGACCGGTATTACAAAGCTCTCAGTCCTGTCAATATTGGATCTTCCTGCCCCTGTCCTCTCCCCACCCCCCCACTCCGCCAGCTCCAAATTGTCCAACAAACTTAGGCAAAGGCTCTTAGCTTGGCCTGGTCTCTCTGTGGAGGTAGCAGCCAGATATGTCTCATGTCACGTCTCCAGTTTTAGTCTATGGCTGCTGTTGTAGGTGCAGCTGGAGCAAGAATGTCTGGTCCTGATGAACGTCCTACATTCCCTTGCTGCTGCTTCTTCATCTTTTTCTCTATTTGCTGGTGGGGATGGTCTGATAAGCTATTGGAGTCACTCGGTTTATTTGCAAGAATAGCCAGTCTCCTTCTAATAATAGATGGGTGCAACCAGCCCCTGGTGAATAAGCTAACACGCCCTATTGCCATATTCCTGCTCATCTACATGGTCAAGTCAGATTCGATCGCTAGGAAAGATAAACTCCATACCAGCCTTCCATGTTCACACAAACCCTCTTTAATCCCTGCTCGTGGTCTGCTCACACCATAGTCAGGGTCTTGATACCGAACCCCTGCTACTCTCTGGGCCTGAGAGATTTTCCCTACTGTCTTTTGTTACAACCTTATTTGACTTCTTTAAAACCCTGTTTTCAATAGTTTGGTTAATGGCTGCCTCCACCAGTGAGGAAGGAGTTTCATACCTGTTTGTTTGAGTCCATAGCCCCAGGACGGTGTGTGACTTGCCCAGACCTGGTCATCTTTTAAGTGGCACAGAAGAGGTGAAGCTACTCTTGTTGAATGTTTTCATCTACATCATTATTCAGTTTGTTTGAATCTCACTGAAAGAACAAGCAAATCTGTTCTTGAAAAAGTACACTGAGGGTGCTCCTTAGAGACAGTGTTGAGGAAACTGTTTCCTATGCTCTGGGCATGTTATCAGCAGAGGTCAGTCCTTAGAAAAAGACATGCTGCTGAGAAAGGCAGACAGTCAGAGAAAGGGAGGAACACTCCCAACAGGACAGACTGACACGGTGATTAGAACAGTGGGCTCCTGCCTGTCGGAGATGGGGATGGTGCAGGATAGGGCAAGGTTTTGTTCTGTTGATTGTATAGTCATTAACAAGTTGTAGTTGACTTGATGTCACCTCACAACGAGTATTTATGGAGCTTACACGAGCCGGGCTCTGCTGTGCTTACAAAGAGGCAGGTATGGATCCAGCCCAGCTTTTCTTTAAAAAAAATCTTTTTTAAAATGTTCCATATTATTTAATCCAAGTGGCATCCACTTCCTAAACAACATGCTTCTGTAAACTCTACGATCTTCGAAAAATGTGGATAGTTGTAGAAAGGCTTCAGACCTTTTGTTCATAGGGTCGCTATGAATCATGCTCGACTCAAAGACAACGACAGCGTATCTAAGATAGGCTCTGTTGGCCTAGTGGTAAGAAGCTATGCTGCCGTCCCAAAGGCATGTGGTTCGAATCCACCAGCTGCTCCGAGGGAGAAAGATAGACAGTCTCCTCTATTGTGATTAACTACTTCTGAAGACCTGCTGGAGGGTCAGCTATGGGTTGATTCCAGCCTGACAGTACACAACAACAGCATATCTAACATATGATCATTTTAACGTACAATAAGTATGAAAAACTGTTGCTGTAAATTGTTTTTTTTAAAAAAAATGTGATTTTAACGTTAAAAAAGCTTGGGTTTTCATGCATTCATTGTTCCACATTTTCCTTCCTCCCCAAGCCTTCTCCCCGCCCGCCCCCAGTCCACTTTGCAGTGCACCTCTTGTTTTGGACTAGCAGGATTGAGGGCTAGACATGTATCTGCCACCTGGCCCTTGTCCTTCTCCCCAGCACCTCACGTGACCCCACCCTGGAGGTTCAGTAGAGTAGAAGTGTAGACCACCGTGTACATCAGCTTCAAACCTTGTCTTCTTCCTGGCGAGGCTCATGGTGAAGGAGGTGGCGAGGCTGGGGGCCATCTTCCAGGGCTGTGGGTCCAGGCTGCTCCTAAGCCCCTCTCCGCCTGCCCTCCCCCAGGCTGTGTGTGCTGCTGCTGGTGTGTGCTGCCCAGGCCTGGCTCATGTGGCGCTTCATCCACTCCCAGCTGAGGCACTGGCGGGAATACTGGAATGAACAGAGTGCCAAGCGGAGAGTCACAGCTGCCCCCAGACTACCAGCCAGACTCCTCAAGAGGGAATCTGGTAAGTGCCAGAGCCCTTAGGCAGCCAGTGAGCAGCCAGTGGGCACTGTCTGCAGGGGGTGAGGAGGAGCCTGGGCCCCTGCTCCCTGGGTGCCCTCCAGCAGTCCTCCCTGTTCCTTTCTCTGGCTCCTCCCCTGGGCCTGGGGCTCCTCCGCCCCTGCCAGGGCCTCCCTGGCACGTGGCTGGGTGTGGGCCAGAGCCAGAATGTGGGCAGTGCTGGCCTTCGTGCCACTGGGCGGCTTCCTCGCCGCCACCACCAGGGCAGAGCTGGTGCTGGGTGGGGAGCTCTGGCGGGAAGCGTGGCCTCAGGGTAGCTTCTGGACCTTGGCCAACTTGAGCTGCTGCCACTGCCCGTCTTCTTCACAGCAGGCTTTGTCCTCACCTGCCCTCTTGCTCTGAATCTCAGCTTGCCTCTGCCTCAGAGGTTGCTGGCTCCCCCTGTCTTCAGGAATAACCCTAAATGACAGAGCGCTCAGCAGGCAGCCAGGCTGATACTCCCACTCCTTTGGTCCTTGCTGCCTGGGCATGGCTGGCCTTGTACATTGTGTTCCAGGGACTTGTCTGCACCAGGATCTGTGTCTGACTCACCTGCCTCTCTTGAGAAGGCAGTTTGCTTGGCAGGGGTTCCTGTGGGTGCTTGAACCAGCCACGTGCACACAGGGCTGGGTTTGACATGACAGCAGGCCTGGCCTGGGGCGGCATGCGGCTGCAGCCAGGCCCACTTCCTCAACTGAGAGCATGCTGAAAGAGGTGCATGTAACAATAGAGGCGGTACAATTTCCCGAGGCATCTGAGTGTCCCACAGCCTCTCCTCAGACTTCTTTCACCCCCTCCCTTCTTCCCTTCTCACCTTTCCTATGACGGGTGCCCTGCACGGGCCTGGGAGGAACCCTGGACACTGGTAACCGCTGAGTGGTTTCAGATTATCCAGCACCAGCCTCAGGCCTGGGCAGGCAGGTCTCTGCTTGTGCCTGGGTTACTGTGTGTCCTTCCAGCCCCCTCCCAACAGAGGACAGTTAGAGACCCAGTGCCTCGATCCTGGGTACTTAAACCAGGATGCGGGGGAAGCAGGGAGCGTGCTGTGTGCCAGTGCCCCACTGCCTGTGGAGCCTGCAGCCCAGTGTGCCCTTTACCTCATCCTGTGTGTGGCAGTGATGCTGGCTGGCCAGTCAGGACCCCTCATGGCCGCTCCTGCTGCAGACCCAGCAGAGTCACCCCGTTTTGTCTTCCTCTGCTTCCCAGGTTACCATGAAAATGGAGTGGTGAAAGCAGAAAACGGAACCTCCCCACGGACTAAGAAACTCAAGTCTCCTTAAGGCCAAAGTGCTTTGAACAGGACTACCCACTGAGGAAGACCTGAAGGAGGGCTGGAGCCCCCTCACTGCCTCCTCCCTCCTGCTTATGAGGCTCCATCAGACAGACGCCTGTCTCTCAACAGGGCTTCTCTCTCACTCCTTTGCTTTCTCTTCTTTATTCTTCCATAAACCATTTTCAATAAAACCAAAAACTCTTCCTCTTTCTCTTCCTCAAGCCACCTCATGTCCTCCCCGCTGATGTGGGCTGGGTTTTCCAGAAGCCCAGCTTCTCCCGTCTTGCTGTTTGTCCCCTCTTTCTCTTCCTTCACACTTGCTGCTTCCTCTTTCCGCTTCCTACTTTTTTCCTTATCGTGCAATTCCCCGGTGTCTAATTTTTACATGGGGGGAGGCCGGGGGTGTTGTCAGGATTACGCTCCTGTCCACCCAGCATCTAGCTTCAGTCCCCAGGACCTGCTGGGGCCTGGAGGCATTGTAGCAGGAGCCTCCCCTGGGGCAGAGAGTAAAGCCTCTTGGCGCAGTCCTCAAATGGATGGGCGAGAAGAGGACAGACTGCTGCTCCCAGTTCATGATCTCCTTGGTGCTGATGAACTGACCAGATGTGTGATTCCACTTATTGCCTGCACCGTCTTGAGGCATGGCAGTGCCACCGCTGCTTGTGAACGCCTGGGTTTTGCCTCTAACCGTGACAACGCAGTCCAGGAGGATGGAGGTGACGGTGTCCGGTCCCCTGACTCAAGAGCGCTTACTGGTGGCAGGCCCTCAAGTGGACACCAGCTGGCTGCCACTCAGGCAGGGAAGTCCTGGATGAGGACAAGCATCCTTTCCACGCTCTAGAGCAAGAACAGAACTTACTGAGCAGCGGGCTCTTCTGGAAAGGTCATGGCAGCAGACCTGATGGAAGAGGTGAACTAAGCTTTTCTTCTTCAGCAGCCTCAGCTGCAGTCGCTTTTTTCAACCAATTCACCAGCATTCAAAACCAAACCAAACAGTTAACACGCCTGACCAGGGACGGCTGGTCCTGGACCTCGGGACCCGGCAGCCCTATCGGGCCACACTTGCTACCTTAACTTCATCTCTCACTGCAGGAACACTAAGCTTCATGGGCTCCAGCCCCACCCCACAGCCCTGGCACCGGAGGAGGGTCGCCTGGGCTGCTTATCCTCCGGCCTTGTTTTTCCAGTGTCCTTTAGAGTTGTGTCATTTGTTGATGTTTGTTGAGTGTGCTGACAGCATTTAGACCAGGAACCGGGAATGGCGCGCACTCTTCTGGTTAGAAGAGCAGACACCGCTTCTAGGTCCCCAGGAGTCTCTGTGGCCCTTTTTCACTCAGAGGTTCTTTCCCTCCCATTCCCCTTCTCCCCAAAGACCAGGTGCCCAGGCCTTTTGAGGGTGTCCAGAGGGGGGTTTGGCATTACAGGGCCATGATTTAGACCTCCAGAATTCTGTGCCAAGTTGAAAGGGATAGTTCTTGGTGGGCACAGGGATTTTGGTGTTATTTGATATCCTGGTGACATCACAGTAGAAATCAGACATTGGGGTTTTTATCCAAAAAGGAAGAACTGTGTCTTTTCATCAAGTTAACGCCCCCTTCTCCGAATCCCTTTTATCACCAATAGACGTGAGTTGACCAGTGACGAAGGAATGTGTTTCCTTCTACCTTTGTTGAACCTCATCCCTCAGTTCAAGGTAAGATTGCAGAAATGGGGAGATCACTGCCCTTGGCTGCTTTTGATTCTCCTTTGGGAAGCAGGAGAGTATGTTCTGGAATATACACTTTCCCCCTCTTGCCTGCCTTAATTACTCTCTGGCCTGAAAAGCAGAAAGTTGGTAAAAATGAGGCTTGAAACCGCTTTTCCATCAGAAACCCTTTAGCCATCTCGCTCAAAGAGCTTGATGAAGACTATGTTTGAGTTCATGCTTTCTACCTTGCCTGGTACTTGGTTGCTCGCAGAAGCAGCATTCAGCCAGCAACCTCCTCACCCACTGGCCTTCATCTCAGCCCCCCTACTTCTCTGAGGTGTACTTTTACAAGCTCTTCCCAGCTTTCTGCTGGAGATACTGCCCTCCTCTGGTGAGCCCGGGTTATACTTTCAGCAAATAGGTATGTGTAGAGTGTCCTGGGATGTAGAGGATGCCATAGCAGCTGAAGGCCTGCTATCTTTTGCCTTTCCTGCCCCAGATATTGGGGGGCACGGTTTTATGTTCCTTAAGACTTTTGGCTTGCTATCTGTACCATCCCTTGGCTATGGTGCTGCCCACCAAATGGTTGGGGTCATCCCAGACTTTTTCCTAGAGGACAATGGTTTGATCAGTGAGAGGAGTTAAGAGAATCTTTTTGCTATGTAAGTAACTCCTAAGGCCATGTGTTAGACTGAATGATTGGTGGGTTAGTGGGTAATTAATTCTAGGACCTTTTGTCACTCCAGTGGTCTTCTGGCACATTCATTTCAGAGCAGATCCAAGTTCCTGGTGGTTATTGTTGTTATGTGCCTGGTTAGGCTGGCTCAAAACTCATTGCCAGAAGCTGAAGGAACTCGTCATTGAATGAGCTTGTTGGGCTGGCTTGTGTTAATGTGGCCCCTTTGGGCCACTCGTTTCTGCTTCTTATACATTCTCTTATACATGAAACATGTGCCAAGCCACCTGGGAAGGTCCTCCAGCCACCTCGAAGTCAGAGGTCTGGCTCCCACCATCTGCCATGAACCGAGTTGACTCTAATCTACCTCAGCAACTGTTGCCTTTCTCCCAACTTGGCTGACTGGCACAGGTGTGCTGCTGGCAGTGGGGAGAGGGGGCGAGCATCTGTCCGTGGGACAGCGGGTCCATGGTCTCAAGTCCTGTCCTTGGAGGCCCGAGGAGGGGCCACCAGCTCGGGTTGTGGTGTTGCATGCGCTTGTTTTGAAGGTAGTAGGGAGTGACTCAAGTTAATTGGTTGGTTTCAGGTGAAAGGATATCAGGCAAGAGGAGAGCTGCTGCCCTCCTCCTGCTGACTCTGTGTGTGTGTGTGTGTGTGTGTGTGTG